AAGGCCTAGAACGAGGTATCTTACATTAGCAGAAGCCCTTCAAAGATTTTTTCATTAAGAAACAGAGGTTGATAATGTTAATAATGACCAGAATGAAACTGATATTGTTGTTGTTCCCCCAGAAATTGCACAATCCAGTGATGAAGAAGAAAGAAATTGCAATGTTTTAAATAATGATACAGTCAAAAGTCGTTAATCCGGACTCGCCGGGACTTCGGTGATTGCGGATTATCGATTTTTCCGGATTATAGATCATCAGTTTAAGTCTGGTACAATGGCATGCAGAAATTATAAAATTAAAAATATGAAACCGTAATTTATGAAATAAAGATCAATTATGATCTAAAGAGTTATTATGATCAAATTTACAATAAATTATGATCAAAATTTACAAAAATACAGAAAGAGCTTAATATTTATTTGTTTACTTTATTAAACATTTCTTTCAATGTTAGTTGTTTAAGTTGCTTCGTTTTTTATGTGATAATACATTCTCTTTAATTCTATAAACAGAAATAATTTCTTCTTCAGTTACAAAGTTCCGCTGTTCAAGTCCTATAATTGCTGTGTCGAGAATACCGACTAATTTGTCAATCGAAATGTTTTCGTTTCAATAACCTCTGTCACTTTCTTCGTTATCGGAAGCGAATTATAACGACGAGGAATTTGATTTAAATCATGTCAAAGACGGAGTACATTGAGATGAAATACTACATTTAGTAAGCAATTATAAGCCAAATGAAATAAAAACATCTGCTCTGAAGATAACGATAGTGCTGACAGATCAACTTCCAATTTGTTGCGCGCTGCGGCGTTAAAGATAAACAAAGTTTAGATAAACAAATGTTAAAGTTTAGATAAACAAAGGATATGCCTTTACCCATTTTTTGCAGCAATTCCACTTTTTGTTTAATAGACTCCGAAACATACTTTCGTTTTGTAGATCCTTTACATATTAGTAAATATATATCAGAAATTCTATTTGACATAATCGAAAGTTCAAGCTTACTTTTATAAAATTGGTCTAACAATCTGCAAAAAATAATAAGCCGAATCCAATTTGAAGATTAAGGAACAAACGCAATCTGCAGCATTAACTGAATTAGATAATTTTAGCTTAGCTTATATCGTCCATTATACATTAAACGCGCATTCGTAAATGTATTTGCGCACATGCACACGCATATTCACAGCCGTAAAGGTCTTACGTGCATGAGTCAACGCGACGCATGGGCAGAAAGTTTGTAGCTTTGAGGTCCGGATTATGGGTGTCTGAATTAACGACTTTTGACTGTAATGATATTTTACCAAATGATACTGCTGGGGAAGTTGAAATTCACGTAAGAAGTAAGTTTCAGCCTTCTAAAAGCAGTTATAGTCATACTAAAAAGTTTAAAAAGCAGAAGACTGAAATCTTGGAAGTGGATAAAAAAGGAACTGTTAGTTATGTCTCAGGAAAAACATGAAGAATGAGATAGAAGAGAAATTATAAAAAACAAAATACAAGGTAAAACTAGTGCACAGATTTTCTATTTTCGTTTTGGTTTAGACATTTACTCTCTGCTCGTTGAACAGATAAATATATACGCTCAGTGGGGAACAGATAAATATATACGCCCAGAATTTATTGCATCTGAAGCCTATATGAGAAGATTTATTGGAATATTATTGCTTACATGATATCATTCTTTACCTCAAGAAAAAATGTATTGGTCTTTTGATAAGGACATTTCTGTTCCTGTTGTACAAGAATCGATATCACGTTTGCAGTACAGGAATATGAAGTAGAATTTGCATTTGACAATAGTCAAATTGAGAATACTGATAAATTATATGAGGTGAGATAGTATCTAAACTTACTAAATATCACCACTTTTTACTACTGAAAATATAGTCTTTTAGATTTCAGATGCGAGAATGCCTTATTCCTTTTGCAAATTCCTATTGAGAGTGTAGAATCAGCCAGAAATAGATCAGCAACAGGAAGACCTAGTAAATTCAGCATTCAAAAACCATTGCATGGAGATGATAGACATTTTATCGTAAAGTACGTTGATAACAAAAGACTTTGTTGTAAAGAGTACCATAGCCAGACTGATTATAGATGCAAAGTATGTAATGTAGGTTTACATCATGATTGTAATCGAGCTTTTCATGCTTGAATCTTTCAATTGAAATAATCTTTTATTTGTAAAAGAAATACAATGTATATTTTAATATTAAATTAATTACAAGTAAAGTGATTTGTAGATTTATAAAACGTTATACAGCTAAAAAGTAATCCTGCGCTCCACTCAAAAGAAACATCACACGAGTACAATCCTACTCACTAAACATCCGTAGTCTTATTTCGCTGATGTTGCGCGAACGCAACATTCACATTTTCCATAGGTAAGAGCATTTTTTTTTTTTTATTTTCAATGTAAATTTATGTTATAAATGCTTACTTTAATATTTGTTATTATTTTCACGAGAAAAGAAACATTCCTTGTAGTTTTGGCAGTTAATGGGTTAAAGAAGCAGATGTCTGCAATTTTGCGCAGTTTCTGCATAATTGTTAATACTATTATTTTTTGAAGTATTTAAGATGAGTAATTCTGCAAAGGCTTGTATAATATAATAATATGAATGGAATAGTCCATAATTAAATAATATTTAACAAACGGTATGTTTGAAATTGAAACAACTGTTTACTTTTCAGAATACACTGCTCGACATTGAAAATGCAACACCAAGAAGGAGTGGTCAGAAATTTATGCAAATTTTAGAGTAGACACACATCACTGAGTTATGCGAATGATGTGAAATACGCAGCTCTCCGACGCAAAGAGTTGGAAGTATAAGGGAGATATTAGGGAAGGAATGTGCAGAATGGGCAATATTCATGTCGTTTCTGCCAGACGAACTACTCAAGAAAGTTGGTTTTTGTCCCGGAGGATACGTGTAATAAGAAAGAGTGCCAGGCCACCGTCAACGAAGGCACTTCCAGCAGATAGACAATTTTACAAGGGATATGGTTATTGGACTGAGAAGGGCGGGTTGGTCCTTACGTCGAATCGCAGCTGATACCCACATGGATGCAAGCACGGTGCATCGTCTATTGCGAACATGGTTGGAACAAGGAAATGTGGGAAGAAGGAGGGGTGCAGGTGCAACCAGAGTGACGTCAGCATGCGTGGATTGACTCATCTGTGGACAAGCTGTAGCGGTCCCGCAAGTCCCTTGTACTTCGATTTTGCAGCATGTGCAAGATACCCTGGATGTTCCCCTGTCGACCAGAACCATTTTCCATCGATTGGTTGAATGTGGTTTGCACTCACAGCGTCCGTTAAGAAGACTGCCATTGACCCCACAGCATAGATGCCAACGTTTAGAATGGTGCCGGACTGGAGCGATGTGGATGATAGAATGGCGAAATGTCGTGTTCTCAGATGAGTCACGCTTTTGTTTATCCAGTGACAGTCACCACATACGTGTGTGGCGTCGATGTGAGACAGATCTAATCCAGCAGTAACTGTGGAATGCCCCACCGCATGGCAACGTGGCATAATGGTGTGGGGTGCGCTATTGCCTAAGATTCCAGGTCACCTCTAGTTCGTATTCAGGGCACTATGATGCCCCAATGATACTTGGATAATGTACTGCGGCCGGTGGCAATCCCCTACCTTCAGGGGCTGCATAATACAATTTTTCAGCAGGATAACGCCCGAACGCACAGTGCTCTTATCTGCCAACATGCTCTGCAAGATATACAGATGTTTCCCTGTTAACCGTACTCTCCTGATCTGTCACCAATCGAACATGTGTGGGATGTGATTGGACGCCATTAGCAGACTCTGCTTCTGCCTCATTCAGAAGACGAACTGTGGCAAGTGGTTAAAAGCTAATGGAGAACCATCCACACTCTTATTGACTCTATGCCTAGATGTGTTTCTTCGTGCATCACTGTCCTCGGTGGTCCTACTGAGCCGACGCCGTTCTCGTTCTCTATTCTGACTGTCATTTTGAAATAAAAGATCACTTATTGCTGCTTGCTGTCTCTGTCTTTTTTCCAAATTTCATCACTTTCTGACCACTTCTACTTGGTGTTGCATTTTCAATGTCGAGCAGTGTATATAGGTAATAATAGTTTCACATTTAAATGGAAGCATTTGTTAATTACTTGTCTGCTGAATATGCTTTAGTTCACATTGGGTTCCTTTCATCTAAGAAGTGTTTCAAAAATTAAATGTTTATAAAAGCAAATAGTGAGCCGGCATGGGTATTGCGTGCATCAGACTGTTAATCACTTCACAAATTCCGTTAATCTGGCAACTGTTAATCAGGCCAAAGAATTGAATTGGCAATCATTAAAAATCAAAATTATGAAAAAAAGTGGTCTTCACAAGGAATCTAGTGTAGGTGGATCGTGAACTCAAATCACAAACTCGAATACTTATTTTGGCGTGAAGTTAAACATAATGCAAGATCTATTCATGGAAATTTTAAACACAATTAAAGATTACATCCAGTTAGAGTTGACTTAAGTTTACCTCTTGTATTATCGCGAAGTTGTTTCTTTTATGATAGCCTGAGTAGTTGAATGTTATGTAAACCCTATTATGACATAATTGATTGCATCATTGCAGTAAATTCGTAAGAGCTTGGAGAAGTGTTGGTTAGGAAGTATATTGGTTGTTTCATGGTTTAGATGGTAAAATGGCCGAATGTGGCAAGATTAATTTGAAGTTTCTGTACGATTTGTAAATTAAGAGGAAAAGAGCATTATTTGACTGGTTCCTACAAAGAGGACACCTAATAATGGCTACTAAGAGGTTTACTTAGTAGCCATTATTAGGTGTCCTCTTTGTAGGAAGGAAATACGTATGGTCGAACATCGTTACGGAGGATATTTTTTACTCTTATTTTGTGAATTTATGTGGTGGCATAAGTATACAGATTCTAGTTCAGATATATTTAGGAAGTTTTTGGATGCTTTTAAGGAATTTTGTTGACTAAAGATGTGTGAATTCTTAAATAAGGTAAGTGAATATTTCCTTTGTGTAGTGCAAAGATGAATTTCCTTTTTTGTTATTTCAATGTTTGATTTAAAATGTAGTTTATTGAGATTATATATTTTTTGTTGGCTGCTCCTTTGACTTTTAAAGTGAATATAGTTCGATGTGTATATGGACAAACTCAAGGAGTGCACAAAGTCTAGTTTGTGCAATTCTCTGATGTTATTTTAAGTGAAAATACGTTATTGTATACATGGATAAAGTCGTGGGAGTGCGCAGTGCCATTTTTGTGCAATTCTGGCATTTTTTTTAAAGTGAAAATAGGTCGATGTGTACATAGATACAGAGATTGTGCAATTCTTTGTCTTGTTATTTTGTGTAATAAACTTGTTATTTTGTGCAAGCTAAAATAACAAGTCAAAGAATTTCACAAACTCGATATCCATATACCGCCAAGTTTTGCCAAGGGTTACCCGTAAATATACTTTTGCCATTATATACTTTTAGTATAATACATCTCCGGTAATTTACTTAATGGCATAGATGTGTTGAATACTTGAAAAATTAGGGGTTTTTAAACGTTAACAGTTTAGTGTTGTGAATCTGAAAAATTAGAGGTTTTAAAACTTTTAAACTTTAACTCATCTTAACTGATTTATGGTGCCAGACAAATTAACAAAAAATCAAATTCATCCTAAGGACAATTGTATAGTGGTAGTACAATAAAGCATTGTGAGTACCTGTGTAAAAAGGGAAAATAATAGCAATAACTCCAAATTCAATAAAACTCCATTTTTCTTAAAAGCCTCCTTCAAACAAATAATGGAGTGACATGACAGACCATTATAAAAATACACACAAGATAAATAAACAAAATACAATTAAATTTTAAACACACACATTTATTGATTTCTAGAATATTCCTAAATATTGGATAACTGATCAGTCAATCCTACCACATATTTTACTATGAAAATTAACACATGCTGTGACACACAATTACAGCTTGCAATAATTAATAAACCTTAAGATGATAAATAACACATAACTTATTTACAAATAAGCATACTCATATTAATTTATAAGTTTACTCTTTTTGACATTCAATAGCTTACCATTTAAGCTGATAAAACAAATCTTAAACCTTCATTTACAGATTTAAAATTAACTGGTCGTTATTTAAAATATTCTAATCACCTCTCAGTTTACAATATATTACAAATGATTACCACTTAATTTCTTGTATATTAAGTTAATTTAACATTACTCAATTCGAGTATATTTGTAAATAGAAAAGACAAGATATTTTTTAAAAAAAAAATTCATCACTCAGGGGTGAAGTTTATACATCCTACGACTCGGGAATGCCATCATCGACTGATTAATACAGAGTTTTAATAGTTCAACAGATCGTACAGCTTATTTCGTTGACCTTTGAAGAAATCCACAAAACCCAAATCGTGCTGCTTGCCCGATGCAGGTCAATGATACACACTGTTATCAAGAACGCTTCAACAAAATCAAGACCCAAGGAAAAAGACTGGTTAAACCACGAAAAATGCTTTGAAAGGACCTAAACTGGAAAGGCACTGGGCAAGATAATTTTCTGAAAATTTAGGATTTTTTTAAACTTTTATACTTTACTCCTTAAACTCGCTAGGTGCTGGACAAACTAACTAAAATCAAATTCATCATCAAAACATATCGTATAGTGGTAGTACAATGACCTTTAAATTCACGTTGTGAGAAAACCTAGTAAAATCAATAACAATAAAATGTATAACCGATCAATGCTCAGTAAACTGCATTATAAATCACACAATAAAATAACATAAAAAATTAAATACATGTTTGTTCCTACAAAAACGAAATATTGATTTATCTTATTTAGAAATTTCTGTGTGTTCAGTATGTGGCACACAAAATTCCTTAACATCATCCAAAACTTTCTAAAATTATCTGAACTAGAATATGTATACTGCCGTCTCCACATAAATTCACAAAAATAAGAGTAAAAAATATTTTCTGTATTGCTGGACTGTCGGTGTCATTTCTTCTGAAAATCCCTTTTTATTGCATTCCCACATGCCTTCAATAGTGTTGATCTGAGCTCCTGTTTCCAGATCCTTAAATGTCACTGCGTGATTTACTGATAAGTGAACAAATCCATTATCAAAAAGACAATTGTACGACTTCCAGCAGTTGGATATGATCATTGTTCCAGGTAAAATACTCCATTGAATTACATACAACAAAGTTTCTTTTCTTCTGTTCTCAACCACTTAAAGAAAACACCTTCTGCTGTCTCATTCAATACCACCAGCAGCCATTTTATGATGCAAAGCACAAAATACACAATGTATTTCCTAACCGACATCCAACGCAGAAATAAGCCCTTACAAATATTTTCACATCAGTCAAATTCACTGCAGTTATGCAACCAATCATGCCATAATAGGGTTTCCATAACATTCAACTATTCAGGTTACCTACCATAAATGAAACAACAATGTGGCAATAAATGAAACAACAACTTGGTGATAATCAAAGGAGCACCTTAAAAGAAAATATAGACTAACCCATTGCCACATAAATATAGTTTGGAGCATCATAAATTACCTATTTTTGCAATAAAAGCATTGCCCTGTGAATATTTTTCAAGGGGATGCGAATAAATTGGAAATTACTAAAAATCTCGTACATGCTTTACCGAAAGTCTCCATGAAGATATCTTTTCCTTTGCAGATACCCCCAGTGTACTACAATTAAGTGATCTAGTCTTATTTTTATGATATGGTGAAAGCCATATATATATATTTAGTTAAAGTTTCCATTTATGATTATTAGTTCTATCATTATCAAAAGTAAAAATTATGTGTTGTATTTTCACTCAGAATGGCAAGCATCATGAACTGTTGAACAGTGAAGATCATATAGGACATTTAAAGAAGTACAAAAAAGATAATTCACTTTGTCGACCTGACATCACACACCAAGTAAGAATTTTTTTTTTTTTTTTTTTTTTTTTTTTTGTCTTAATATTGTAATTAAACGGTCCTCCTTTCTCCCCCTCCTGCATCTGTGCTGCATACCAGAAGAATATTACAGTACAGTCAAAAGTCTTTAATCTGGACTCGTCTGGACTTCAGCGATTCTGGATTATAGATCATCATTTTAAATCTGGTAAGATGGCATGCAGAAATCATAAAATTAAAAATATGAAAACGTAATTTGTGAAATAAAGAGTAATTATGATCTAAAGGGTATCAAAATTTACAAAAAAAAAGCTTAATATTTATTTGTTTACTTTATTAAACATTTCTTTCAACGTGCGCATGCGTAAAGCATACATTACGCATAGTCGAAATTAGAAAATTGCAAGCAGAAAACTATTTGATGTGTATTCGTAATATTTATAATGATGAGGAATTTGATTAAAATCATATCAAAGACGGAGTACAACGAGATGAAATACTACATTTAGTAAGGAATTATAAGCTGAATAAAATAAAAGCATCTGCCCTGAAGATAACGATAGTATTGGCAGATCGACTTCCAGTTAATTGCGCCCCCCCCCCCCGGCAGAGCAGCGTGAATTTGATAAACAGATTTCGGAATGGTTAGAGAAACAAAGGGTATGCCTTTATCCATTTTTTGCAGTAATTCCACTTTTTGTTTGATGAACATCGAAACATGCTTTCGCTTTGTAGATTCTTTGGCAGCTCCAGAATCGGAAATTCTTTTTGACATAAACGAAAGTTCAAGCTTACTTTTATAAAATTGCTCTAACAGTCTGCAAAAAATAATAAGCCGGATCCAATTAGAAGATTAAGGAACAACGCAATCTGTAATGTTAACTGAATTAGATAATTTTAGCTTGGCTTATACCATTCGTTATACCTTAAAAGTACATGCGTAAACGTATTATGCATAATGCGTTTATGCATATGCAGAAAGTTTGTAGCTTTGAGGTTCGGGTTATAGATCATTCCGGATTATAGACGTCCGGATTAAAGACTTTTGACTGTATAACTATATGGTGTGAGTCTACTGAGTAATTTGATTGTGTAATTCTACCTGCCATATTTAAGATTTAAAGGAAACCTCTTTAACATTAAAAACAGAGGTTCCATTTTGAATTTAAGTCAGTGCTTGAAGTGAAAATTTGAGCAAGAGACACACATTGCACATAATTATTTTTAAAAAGAAGGGGGGAGGGAAGCACTTTTGCAGAAAGATATTTAATTGCTGGACAAACCATTCGTTGGCAGGAGTTTATTGGTAAACACTAATGAAAATACTTAAAACATTGTAGTAATGCTAATTAGTATAATGTTTTAAATTAGTTTGTTTCATTGAACTATTTTGAATAAAATGTGTATGCATAATAATTAATGCTTTAATCAAAATGCAATTATAATAATGGAAAAATATAAATTTGTTGTGTTTATTAATATAATATTTTACAGAAATATGTGCTTAAAATTAGTCTTTCATATTAAAAATAAAATTGGTAAAAAAATTTAATTAATCCTTGTTATTCTTCTAAATGCACTGGTTAGCCAAGCCATATTATTGAAGCTAGTAAACTATAGTTTTTTTTACATACTTTGCAGGTACGGATAAAAAATTGATCATTATTTGGGTTATATTTATGTTATGGTAAATTATTAGACATAATGAAAAATGGAAAAACCAGCTTCATGAAATTTATGTTTTTCAAGCTGAACTCTGTGCTATAAACAAATCAATAAAGTTGCAGTTACTCATAACTTACGAAATCTCCATATTAAATCTGGTAGTCTGTCTGCTGCTTGTCATTCGAAACCTCATTATGCTTCTCACTCATTATTATAAAATCAATTACTGAAGCAGATCAAATTTATAGCTTACGTTTAACTCACTTGAATTAACCCTGTAAGCGGCAAGGCTGTATATATACTACAATTTTTTTTTTTTTTATGTCTGTAAGAACGTGTATATATAGGTGCATATTAAAATATGTTAAAGAAATTAAGGCAATATATCAAAAATACAGAAATCCAGATATGAAATACCAGCAGAGTTTTTACATTAAAATTTTTTAAAAAATTGTTCTCATAGTAGTTTTGGGAAATTTGTGCTTTCTTAGCGAAAACCCTGGCCACTCAGAATGTTAAAATTAATACTGATCAGATGAGAAACAAGAGTTAATCAACCTTTTAAAGCAGCTGCTCATGATGAAGTTGCCCAATTAATTAATTCATATTCCATATATTTGCGTAAATCATATGCCATTTAAATTTGCCATGGATGTATGGTAATAAAAGTGGGAGGAAGCATTGCAGTGTCGAAGAACGTGCACTTTTCTACCTAAAGGTGATAATAAGCAGTCTTTCTATAATGTTGTTGGTAATCTCACTTGTCTGACCTAATCAGAACAAGCCCACAAATTTTATCTCAGCAAGGAATGAATGATTGCATCTGTTGTTAGTATGAGTTCTGCCCAAATTTTAAAGAAGAGCACCTCTGGGAATGGTTTACGGGGGTGACCCATCTGTCCTTCCCTAACACCAAACCACTTGAGAAGAATTTTGGTCACCATATATTTTGAGTGCCCATGGCTTATTCCTGGATTTGGACCCTGACCCTTTGAAGGCTCAATTAGTTCCCTGTATCCTGTCATCCTCAACTTGTTCCTTGCATGGTGTGGTACATTTTGATCCAGGTATGCTCACACATCTCTATTGTAGTGCAATGGTGCACCATCTTATTGGTAATAAAACTTCTCATTCCCATATATTGCACAAATGGCTAGGAAAATGGAATCAGCAGTTGTTTTTAGGTACTCTTCTCCTGTTATAGTACCTTCAAATGAAAAGTTCCAATAAGTCTTTTGGAAGACAAATCATACCACACATTTATGTCAGGCAAATTTACAACCTTTTCAGCAGTATGTGTAGATTATCTTCAGTCTGTACACTCAATTATACCTATTGACAGTTACATTAAGTATAAATTGTGTTTCATGCAACCAAATAATGCTACCCATAATCCTGATTCATGTGTCACCATCTCCTAAACCTATTCACAAAATTGTACCCTCAGGTCTGGGATGTCATCACTGAGTTGTTACACCAACCTTGGCATGTGCACATGCAGCTTGCTTTTCTTCAGAATGCACAGCATTACTAGCAGTTGCATCTCTCTTGCATGATCATAACCCTGAAGATTTTTGTGGTGGCCCTGAAACATTTCCAGCAAATAAGAGATCATCAACTTTAGTCATGTTAACTAGCCCTGATGATCCTGTCTTGCATATTACAGACTGTTCCATAATTTGACTTGTAGACACGTAATTGTTAATCTTGAAATGGTTTTTCTCAAATTGATGTTCTTTCGAATTTCCTTTTTTCAGAAATCTTTGTTTTTAATGTTGACACAAGAATGCTTAGTTTTTTTTCAACAGTTATGTTTCCATAAATTTTGTAGTATCAAATTCTTTTAAAACTTTAAAGTCCTTAGTTGTATCTTTCAAGGAGACTAGTTTTAATTTATTAGAAATTCTAACTGCAAATTAAAGTAAAAATCCAGAGGATAATAGTTGAGTTAAAAACGTTCTTACCAGATGATAGAGCAATAAAACATTTTACAAAAATAGAGTCCTTATCCAAATTTACTACTGATATCATTTGAAAAAATCAAAACTAAAATTTATGCAGGTGAGAAAAATTTGGATATGAGGAAAAAGTTGAGATACGGGGAGCACAGAAATGTTGAAGAAGCATTTCTGAAATGGTTCACCATTTAAAGAAGTTGTAATCTGCCAGTATCTCAACCAATGATTCAGGTAAAGACAAATGAATTTCCATACACCTTAGAAAGATTGGAAATGAATGAAAAACAAATTTAATGCTTGTACATAAAAATAGCCATAAAAATAACCATAATAGTGTTTATTTTTTAATTACATTTAATATTCACTTTTTGTACACTTTTGGATGTGGCTATGTTAATGTTTTTTTTTTTTTTTTAAACCTTTATTCATCATTCAGTTTTTACATGTTTCTGTGAAATAATTAATTTTTCTTATAGAATTTTATGTAGCAAACCAAACTTCCGGTCACTTGAAGTTTGTTATTGCAAGGTTCGACTATAATAGCAAGAAAGGTATTAGTACTTAACCCTGCAGAAGGAAAGGACATCAGAAGTGTAGTGGTTGCATAAGTAGGTAATAATAAGCAGTTAGTCCTATTTTTAATGTAAGAATGTTATGGAAGTATAAAGTTATTTACGAGATGTTTTGGCTCAAGTGTAAAAAACCTGATGAACAGTCATTCAGCACATAAGGCCAATATGAGAAACTATCTTTAAAACAACTTCAAAGGATACAATGGAATGGCTGTGGTGATATATAATTTTCATTATTGTTAAAGAATCTGCTGAAACTTATTGCTGTTGCTTTGGATAAAATAAAAAAGTTGACTGTTTTCTGTACCAAATGCTTAGTAGATGTGATTGACACTAATAACTGAGAAAAGGTTTAAAGCTCACTCAGTCAGGCTTCAATATCATATGCTAATGTACATGCTTTTTCAAATACTGCCATATGGAACTAACAGTTCATGGAAAAACTGTTAGTTCTTGACTATTTTATGATCATTGGTTTTAACCACTTTGGCAGGAACTTATTTGCCTAACATATTGAGAATAGCTATAGCATGTGCTGAAGGTTTTTCATTTTCTTTGTAAGATTTGTATGATTAACTGAAAAATTAAAAAATATATATATATGTTCATTTCAGTGTTTAATGATGTTGTTTGACAGCCCCTTAAACAGAGCTGGCTTGTTGCAAGTGTTTGTTCACACAGAAAAGAATGCTTTAATAGAAATAAATCCACAGACCAGAATTCCAAGAACTTTCAAACGTTTTTCTGGGCTTATAGGTAAGTTTTATAGTGGTTTCTTTTCTCTTTTCCCCCTCCTTTAAAAAAGTCTTAATAGCCATAAATCCATAGGCAAAAGTTCCCAGAACATGATGTTTTCTGGTCCAATGGCTAAGCTTTATTTATTAAATTTATTAATTATTAACATATTTAACAGCTTACCATTTTCTGTTACAACTAATAAATGATTATATCTTAGAAAATATGGTTATAATTTATTTCTGGAGAGTAAATATTCACATATATATCTTTTATGTCACGTTAAGCTTTAACCTGTCCATTGACTGGTGTTAATCTTTTTAAGTGAACTCAACTGAAATAAGTAGTACGTAGCTCAAAGTTAGTTCTTAGCTCAAGTACGTATAAAATACAACTGGTTTTGTTTGGAGGATGATCATTTAGTTCAATGTGATTCATTTTTCAGTATAGAGAACTATGCAAATAGTTTCATTTCATTCTTCCAGCACGTGGAAAGGAATTCAAGCGATGCTTCAGATTCTAATTTCAAGAACTGTACTAGTAGTTGGATAAATTTTTTTATGTGAAATGTATTGTTGAGAAGGCATTATGAAAGGTGGTATATGACAGAAGCAGGATAAATGATGACCTAAAAAGTAGCTAAAAACTTCCTGTCATGGATGGAAACAGTTTAAAGATGATAGCAATATATGTTGAAAATGTCCTACAACACATTCTCAGGACCATTATTTAGCAGTGATTTCTAAGAGAAGTAGGCAGCTAACTTCAGGAAAGCCTGCAAGATAATTTTTTGCAACTACCAAAGCTCAACTATCCAGGTTTGGTGTACTAAATATTGGAGTTGTGAAAAACATTGGTATAATCGCAGTATAGGTGGGCATCATTTTGAATGGCTGCATTGAGCTACACATTTTTACGAGTAGTAGTATGATTGTTGACATATAATGAGATGACATATGCGATTCTGAAGTTAAATTGTTTAGGATCTCGGCCAGTTACGACTTGCTCCATATCAAGAATAATGCTGTCCCCATTTCGTTGCATTAGTGACCAATTATTTTGAAGGTGAAGGAATGTTGCAAATGTATTGGCCTATATATTCTCCAGATGTTAAATCCAACAGAATTTCTATGGAACTAGAACACTGGAACATCAGCTTTTTGTTACTACAGGAATTCCTAGATAATATAATATACAGTGTGGTCTCTGTAAAGCTTATTTTGGTTAGAGATGACAACATGCCTTATTGTTTTTTTCCTAAATATCCCTAAAAAGTGGTAACACATTTTTTATCCTATTCCACTTCATGTCACAATCTGTAGCCCTATATATATATTCAGAAATAAGCAATTTTGCGTTTAGAAGATAATGTCAGGCATAACAAAATAAAGATCTTGTGCAAGTTCCATGTTCTTAACCACAAAGTCATTCAAGTTGCATGAATTTTTTTATTTTTTCCTTTAATATTCCCTATGAGTGTATTTCTTGATGTGTCATAATCTATTCTCATTCTATCATATATGTAAGGTCTACCAGAAAAATTTTATGCATTTGACAGGGTTTCGTAGCGGTCCTTATAAGTGCTTATAATTCCTTAATATTTGAAAATAAAATATAAAGGCCCTTATAGGTGCTTACTTTTTCTTTAAAGCCCTTATTTTTTTCTTTTTAGTGCTTATTTTTTGCTTTTAGTGCTTTTTTTCTTAAATGAATGCGCAATTTTTCCCCGTACCAAAGCTGAAACTAAATAAACAACTTTTCTTCGTAATATGGAATGTCAGATGGTGAAGTTGGTGAATCATATTCCCGGAAATAGCTTTTGGAGAGTACAGACAGGTGCCCGTCGTTCTGTTGGTCAAAGAATTGCGAAAGCAGTAGAAAATTTCGGTACATTCGGCATTCTTTTCCTCCCACCCAAATACTACAAACATTTGAATTTCTATCAAGCTCTTAATAATTTGCATTCTCATTCCGCTTGGTCAGTTCATATTCGTGTTTATTATGATCGTTATGCTTGTATTATGAGTATATGTATGAATGTTTATAATAACATAGTTGCAGTAACTGCTGAAGTATAGTAAATTTCTAAAAATGGTTGTGTTTTAACACAGATTAGCTTTCTAAGGAATAATATTCGGAATGGCTCAAATAAAGGGGAAGTAATCGAATAGTCGAAATAATTTCATTTTTTTTGGCCAATACATTATACAGTACGAAGATTGGGAGGTTCTCCCCTTTTTCCTCAAAATCTCAAATATTGAAACTGTTACAGTTCGCTGCATTAAAGTACAAGCAAGTTGGACCTTTTCCTTTCTTTGCTTTTTTTTTAATCTCGGGGTCACTTTCCAATCTGGATTGAATAGGACTAAAAGTTCTGCGGTCTACCAACCCAAGCGAAGAATGATTCTATTCCAGAAATTTAACTGCAGTCTGTTGAAAATTAGAATGAAAAACACCCCAGATTGGTAAATCCTTTATTAATTAATAGATTGGCAGGGATATTGTGCGGAGCGTGGCAGTCCTCTCAGTGATAAATTTCTGGGCGCGTGACGGTGAAAACTGGACGAAGCAAAGAGGCGTTTTACTTTATTTAGTTCTTTATTCTCCCAATACCGGCAGCTGTTGAATCCGATTGCGTAATATCATGTAGGGAAGAATTACGGCGCACGTATTGCGCAGTAACGTTTGCGATATTTTGCAGAGATAGTTAATTTTGATGTTCGGTCCGAGATTTGTTTATGAACACTTAAAAGAGTTTTACTGTGCTTGCAAAGCAGAATATTTTTCTGTTCCGTTGGTTTGTTTTTATATGATGCACATATCAAAACGTTTATTTAACATTTATTTAGCGGAAAAATCTAAAGAACGGCTACAGTCTATCCTCTCTCCGCTCCTCTTTTTCAAGTTACGCTGGACTGTCCGAATATTCACCAATTTTCAAGTATGCAAGTAGTTAAGCTTTTGCTGTTAAAGGATGACTGCATGAAGTAAATTTCTGTCTTCTGATTTCAGAAATGTTCCTCTTTTTTACTTAAATTACTTTGCTTGCAATATCTGTTAAAGAAAAACTGATATACGATGAAAATTTAGAAAATGTTCAGAATTTAGATTTAAATTAGTTGAATATCAATATGAGTGAAAAAATAAATTGTATTTATTATTAAGTTCCAAGTGAATAGAACAAATATGCCTTATTTTCTCTATTTTGAACTGAAATTTCATCATTAAATCTTGTAATATAGTTTAGTTCTGGATAGTTTTTTTTTTCTCTCATTGTAAACTAGTTCTGTAAATTGAACTGTTATTTAAAATTAAAAAAAAAAAAAAAGTAATTATTTTTCCATGGTTGAGGTAATGCTTATTCTCTCTTAATAAATACTGCATTTCTCATATTTTAAATTACAAGTCTAATTTTTAAGGTTATGCAGTTGTGTATAATGTAATTAGACAGGTGCTTATTTTTTTCTTAAAATGTGCTTGAAAAGTGCTTATTTTTTTAACTAAAATGTGGCTATGAACCCTGATTTGAGAAGTGAAAGAAAATAATGTATTTTTACATTGTTTTTTATTTTTTTCACATTATTTATTCTTTTTAATAATAATATTTATTGTACATATAATTTCCGTCATTACTGATGACCTTTTGCCAAAATTTGAAAATAAAATTTTTTAATACCTTCACAGCAAAGTTGGGCAAAAACCTAAATCTGTTTTATATGTGGTGCTTTCTCCCATCACGTTATCGTGGCTTTGGCTCATTGGTTTCCGAGAGTTGTTAAATGGCACGCATAGACATTCTTTTGAAGCAACTAAAGTAGCTCTCTTATTTGAATGTAATTTGTTTAATGTCAACGTTTAGCTTTTGATGCTCGCATTGCAATCTTGTCTTAAAGGGAAACTGCATGTAATGGGGAAAACGAGGCAAAGATCCCCAAGAGAGAAGTAATTACGTCAGTCACTTAAGTAGTTCATTCCAACTGAAATTTGTATGTATGGGCATTTCAGATATTTGAGCAGCACAGATTTCGAAAATGTATTGTCCTTAGAGGCAAAGATTTCAGCTAATGCTTTGGCTGACATCTGCAGTTTTTTTTTGTTTTTTTTTTTTTTTCCCAAGGAGCAAAACAAATGACAATCAGGGGGTACCGAGTATGGAAAGTATAGTTGGTATGGGAGAATTTCCCAGCCTGGCACTGAGATTTGTCGGAGAGTCACTTTCAGCATGTGGTCTAATGATATTTTTACTGGTAATCTACTTTTCATCAGCAGTTTGTTATCATCTAGTTCAAAAAGGGCCAATTTTTGTTTTGAGCAAGTAGAGATGTGCATTTGATGCACATTTTTCTTACTTAACTCATGAGGCAACCATCTGGAATATTTATAGACCAATCCTAATTTCCAAATATGATCTGAAATGGTTTGTTGAGTAGAGTTAAGCTTTTCCACAGGCTCCCATGTTGTCAAAAAAGGATTTACTCTATCATAGTCTTGACCATATTGTCTTTGATCTACACCAAAAATTTTCACTAAATTTCAGGATGTTTCTGTACCATTTCTTCCTTGTTGGAATTCATACAAAATACAGTGTCATAAATTAACTTTAGGAGTAGCCTTGTTTACACAATCGTATCTCGCATAATATTAAAAAAAAACATATGTGTATAAATGATCATATAAAGAGAGATAGCCATATACTGAGTAGTCATAAATAAACTTCCCCAAGATATGAAACCCTAGTAGCCATCTGCTCAGCCAATCAAAATGAAGTTTCAGATGATGTTATCTTCAGTTATATAATGATTTAAAACAGCAGAGCTCTAATGGTTATGGTTATATTAAAAAAATTTGAATGGCAACATCTTTTTTTCCTGCACAAATTTGCCTGTGTATTTAAACACTATAAATGACATTGGAATCATACACATATTATGAAAACTGCCAGCATATAAAACCTTTGCAAAGAAGAGCATAGGTATAATGACAATATACAGGATGTGAGGAGGGAGGGGGAACTTTTGATGGAATTACAAGTTTTCAATGTGTACATCTTTGCAAATTATAATGCATTGCATGTAGGAGATTGTTGACAACCATGATGAATGTAACATTGCAGGATGAATCTGTATAACTTTAAGTTTTATGGCATCTTTCACTTCTAAGAAATTTCATGAATTTGATGTGTACAATATAAATTTTAGGTAACCCCGTAACCAGAAATCCATCGGAGAGAATAGGGGAGGGAGCGTGGTGGCCATGGAACCTCGAAGTTACGGGAGATGACTCTATCTCTAAAGTACTACTGCAGCACTTGCCAAATACACATGGTGATATGTTTAGGAACACCATCTTGCATCCATACAATGCCATCAACAACATTTTGCTGCTGCAATTCTGGAATTACATAATTCTGCAACGTTGTTGCATACCAAGTACTTGTGATGGAGCATGATTTAATACCTGCAGAAGTGGCCTTTATAAAGAAATAAGAACCAAGAATAAATGCACTTGTGAAGCCATGCCATGCAGTGAGTTTAGCTTCATGCAAAGGTGCTGATGCCACATTGCAAGGATTTTTATCAGCCCACTAAACACGGTTCTTGAAGTTTTCATTCCGAATAGTGTAGAAATGCACCTAATCGATCCATAATATCCAAAGTAGCCACATGGTGTCTTCATCTGCTATCATGATAAAGAAAATATTTCCAAAGTCGACATGCTGTTGCTCATCTCCAATTGCCAATGTTTGGATATGCTGGAATCAGTAAGGAAACATCCGCAGACCACAGCACAGAAACTTGAGAACTGATTTTTGGTACATCCAAACTGCAGGCAATGCTTATTGTAGTGTGCAATGGACCTGAAGTAATCATATTATGCACTTTCACAATAACTACAATAGTAACAGATGGTCATTGGAATAACGGTCATGCTTCCAGCATCAAGTTTTTTATCAAATAACTTACAATTTTTATGGAACATGGGCCTCATCTGAGCTTCTGATTTTGTTGATAAGCTTGCACTGGTTCAGTAGCATTTTCCCCATTCAATAAATCAGCTTCATTGGTTCACCTTGTTGTTTCCCTGTAAGTAACATCTTGTTAGTGCATTCAAACACCTGACTGAAGAAAGTCTTCCCACACTGCTTACTAAAGGTTTTCCACAAGCAATGCTTTGCACATGGTGTTCTATGACTAGTGCTTTACTGTCTCTCTATGTGAAAATTATACAGAGTGTGTCAATGCGCACCCATTCTGTGTTTTCATTGGTCCTTTACAATGCTCTTTACAGATGTTTTGCGTCAGCAGTTTTCATCATGCATGTATCGCTGCAATGTCATTTATGATTTTTCAATACATTGAAGTATAAGAAAAAAAAGTGGGTGTTGCCATTCATAATTTTCGATTTTTTTTTTTTTTTTTTTTTTTTTTGTTGTAGCCATAAATTTGAAAGCTCTATTGTTTTAAATCATCACAGTGTTCAGTGCATACCTTCAAATAATAATATCTGAAATTTCATTGGTTGAACGGGTAGGCAGATAGTGGTTTATATATCAGGGGAGTTTTTTTTTTTATGACCACTCTGTATGTCTCAATTGAACACGTGCATGTTTGTTGAAATTTGGAATAACATTATTGGAGACAACTTTCAGTAGACTTTGAATATATTCATATGCCAGTTGTCTGATACGTAATTCATTTTTAATTTATTTCTATTTTATGATGTAACTGTTTTACAATTTCTAAAATTTTTCTTGCAGTGCAGTTACTATTCAAACTCACTATTAGATCTGCAGATGGAAATCACAGACTTATGAAGGTAATGACTATTTATATATTTAATCTAGAGGTTTACTGAATTGCTTTTAGTTAGATATATTTTTAATTAAAAATAACTATGCTTTATTAATTTTCTTTATTTATTTATGATATAGAAGCTATCAGTTAAAAAAGGGTTTTCATGTAACTTTTTGGGGGGACATTAAATGTTTTTCTTGATGTTTTGATGATATGATGAAAAGTCAAAGTTACATTGCCATTGTAATATTTGTTATAGATGAAGTGGGAATTCATAATCATTATTTGCAAAATAAGTGAAAATATTTTGGTAGGTCACTCAATAGTTTTTATAGCTCAATAGTTTCACTTTCACATGGATAATAGGCAAGAATTTGATCTTACTTATCATTCCCTGCCATTAATTACTTATATTGAGTTACAGGAAGTGGATTTGATCTCATTTTGCCTTTTTTTGTTTGTTTTTTCTACTATACCAGAGTTTATTAAACTGTGGGTCTTGGTACCTGCAATAGGGGGTCGCCAAAAATTTTAGCTGTTTTAATATTTCTTCAACTTATAATAATTTTACGATTGCCGAATATTTTTACATAATGTATCTAAAAATAGATAAAAAATAACACAATACAGACAAATTAAAAATGAAAATATTTCAACACATTTTTGTTATAATAGATATGATTATTTTACTTTAAAAATTAAAGTTAATCACCTGAAACAGCAATAGTATATTATCTTTCAAGTGAAGAAACTGATAGTTTCACTCACTCATGTGTTGGATTTGTGCAATGCTTATGGGATTCCACAAAATATTCATAAATATTATGGGGTCCCCACACCAAAAAGTTTAAGAAACCCTTTACTATACCATTTTTGTATTCATTACAAATGTAAGTGCATCTTATCCTCCCACTTAGCAGTCTTGCTAAACTATAGTTATTCCTTTCTTTAGTTTTTTTTTTTTTTTGGGGGGGGGAGGGGAATGTTCTAACTTCTTTCAGAAATGTATTCCTGTTCTTTTTTATTTTTCTGTCATAACATTTTACCAGTTCATATCCATTATAATAATTGCCCATAAATACGTTACATCCTACATCTAGCATTCCATAAACTTCAGAAATATACCACTAGGTTTTGTTATCACATACAAGTTGATTTATGGCATTTGTTTGCTATATATTGTTTAAAAATAAGTTGTCCACACCACAATATCATTGATCATCTAAACTAATATCTCGTCTTGGGCAATATATTTCAAATAATCATGCATTGAACAAATTGACAATTCTTCTGACATTATACAGTTGATCCTTTGGGGGTTCTGCATTCTGCTTTGGGGTTCTGCATTCTGCTTATTATTGAAAGCATTGTGAAGTACAATGCTTTCAATAATAACAAAAATCAATCCTGCTAATATTACCTAAGAATACACGTAAGACAAACAGTGTATTTATTTCCAGTAATCTTGCCTGCAATTAATTCATATGGTTCCTATATGTAATATATATCAAATTATTTTGCGAGCATAATCATTCATTTTATCAACTGTTTCATTCATATGGTTGGTAGAAAGTGACAAAAGTACTGTAAAGTCACCTGGAACAGGTTGTTGGAAACACTCAAATTTTGTGAATGGAAATTGTTTCATGGATGTTGATTCATTTTTCCAAATTATGTTTTCTACCGTAGCAGAATATCATATACGTGTCACACCTTACATGATATGGTCTTCATCTTCCAAATCTGAAATATATCGGACATATTTCAGAGGAAAGAATTCCTCGTTGCTTTCACCATCACAACTAAAATTATTCAGGTAATTGTCCAATAGTTCATCTAACAAATTTGAAATTTCATCAGCCATTAGTGGCTTTTTATTTTGCATTTTTCTTTTAATGTGAAGGCTGTGCAGAAATATCTTCTACAACTATCTACTTTAATCATATACAACTCATGCTACAATTTTTTTTTTTCAATAACTAATAAAGTAATTTGAAACTAATACAACTAGTTTCTAACCTTCAAGTACCAGCATACAGGCTCAAAACATAATGTCGATTGAACTGGAGAATAAACAATGAAGTGTAGCTACTCTTGCACCAGTGCACGACTGGCACCTAAGCCATACCCCATATTATGCATCGGTGCTGAATTGGCTGTTCAGCAATAACGCCATATCACGCGCAAGCCCATAATTGGCAGTGATTGTGTTAAAGAAAATATCTCTTCAATAATTTCTCATTAGATTCAGGGTCCATTTAATTTTTCTTTTTAACCCAGAAGGGCACTTTAAATGTCTGAATCAGTTTTCAAATTGTTGTCACCAAATATTATTTAGTTGTATAAACAACAGAAAGTTAAGAATCTACATGAATGTATGTCTGTTTCTCGCATTGTGGAAAAACAATGGTACCTAGAGTTGTCAAATTTTGAATAACATAGTCCTGCATTCAAGCATGGGTACTTGGAAGCCTGAATTTGGAATTTGTTTTATTATCTATTTCATATTTTATAAAACTATAATGAATATTTGATTTAAACATGCAACACTCAGAAGGGCATATTTTCCTTAAATAGGGACAGAAGTGAGCACAAATTAACATATCGAAAAGTCTGCTAATTCATATTCAAGAATCATAAAGTTGATACAATGTTACAGCTTTCTTAGATGCTTGGTTTCATTTCTGTGTGTGAGAATCTGGTTGCTTTCAATTGTTGTAGAATTGAAAAATATTTTTTTAATATTGATTTGCAGGTATGGATATCTGGAAGCTAAAATATATTTTTCGTTTATGATTCCAGGAAAAAGTACTTTTAAATAGCTGTAAATTTTTAGTACGAAAACATTCACCATGTAAAGTGTAAAAATGGTATCTCTAATTATGTATTTATTTCAGGTAATTAAAAATCCAGTCACTAATCACTTGCCTGTTGGATGTAAGAAAATAGCTACGTCATATAATGCAGAAAAAGTTGTCAATCCTAGAGAATTGGTCCCACATGATGAACCTATTGTTATAGTTGTTGGAGCGATGGCTCATGGTCAGGTAAAAAGCTTTAGTATTTTTAACTATCTTTTTAAGAAACTAAACACTTACTTTTGTATATAGCAGAAAGTCGGAAATCCAGATATGCAGTATGAGGAAAGGCTTAAAATTTTGACCTCCAGATTACCCACAACTATTTTTGGGTATGCTTAGGCTGCTATCACACGTCGGTTCGTTTCGGAAGAACAACTGTTTGGAACAATTTTTCTGCTTTGTCACAACAGCCAATCACCATAGATCGCTTTGGATTTAACGCAGGGGAAACTGGTTTCCCATTACAAACAAGCTGATAGCTGATTGGTTGAAAACGAACAACTTGCAATTTTTTTTGAAAGGAAGGGAAAACTCGCACGTCTTTCTTTCAATAGTAAAGCAGGTAGAAAAATTGTCCGAAATAGTTGTTCGTGAAACAAATGCCGTGTGATATGGGTCTTATGCATGCACATTTAAGTTTGTTTATTTTTTTGTAATAAAACGGGGAGAGTCCAGATTCTTAATTTCAGTTCGCACTGAATAAAATACTCCATACTGAAGAAATAATCATTTATTAGCATAAATCTGTATGACCAATAGGTTGGCTACATAGCTGCCATTTTGCTTTGCGAAATATTATTTATTATTTTCTGATTTAATCATTACATGGCAGCTTGAGAAAGGACACTTGCAACAATGTCTAAACTCTTTTTTTTTTTGTTAGTAATTGAATACCAAAGAGCATGGTAATCTTTTATGTCGACATTATGCTTGGCGATGATTATGGACTTAAGCTAACTGCTCTTAAGTATTGAATGTGTTGACAAGGAGAAATTAACTCAAAATTTCTTTCCATATACAAAAATTAGATTTTATAAATGATACTCATAGACCAAATATTATATTTAGTGCAGTTTTCATTAAGAATAACTGATTTGTTATTCAGATAAGTCCAGAACCTGCGCCAAGCTGGTGCATCTGCGTTAGTCGAGTGAAATTAGGGGACGCAATTTTTTTTAGAATTTAGAGAGCATAGCAAAATCTTAAGAATTTTGGATGGCATTGTGATGCAAAATTCAGAAGTGGTGTAATTTTTAGAATTTAGTGAGACGCAAAATTTAGGGCTCATAGACAACTGGCCATAAAATGTCTTAGCATTCTCCCTTGATGAGCCTTAAGCATGTGTGAGAAATAGGTCTAAGGTTTATGATGATAGCCATCAATTTGAAGGTTTTCGGATATTGCAAACAAAAAGTGAAATTTTCCAAGTAATGGAATTTCTGGAGAAGTGGTCATAAATGAAGATAATATAACAGAAGATTTCCCGGTGTATTGGTGTATTTAATTATGGCAAAGCACACTAGGGCTATCTGCCTAAGGGAAGGGATGCCTTCGTGGAGGACTTTCTAAGGGAAATTGGCTCGTATACATGTTACACATGGGGAAAACCACAAAACACCCATGCAGCCAGCCCGTTCGCAGGATTCGAAGCTCGGACCGAACTATCAGTATTCAACAACTTTACCGCTCGGCCGCTGGTGGGCCCTGTTGTGATGACAATGCACCCAGTCGTCAATTAATGTAGGGCAAAATCTGTAGTATGGCTCTAAAGTTAGAGAATATCACTACTAGTAGTAAATAAAAGTTAGAGAATATCACTACTAGTAGTAAATAAACTGGCATAGCAAAAAAAATTTCGATTGATAATTGTGGTACTTGGCACAGGACTTCGTGCAGGAGTGCTCGTTTGGGGTGGAATTATTCTTGGTTCCAGAACTGACCTGCATGTTCAAATTGGAACTATGACAAGCCATACAATGTATTAACATACCAACCATGTAATATTGGTTTTTTGTAAATAGGTTTTTTTTTTTTAATTTGCTCCAGGATAAAAAATCGCTAATTTTTTTAATAATATCAAACATATAGCATTTTTTTTTTTTTTTTGTTCTTTACCTTTTGTTTAATAAATAAGCTTTATAAATAAGTCAAATTTGTTTTGCTTCTAACTCTTCCTTGCCTGATTTTGCATTATCCTTAATTTATGGACATGAGTGTAGATTTAAACTGATGCTCCTATATCCAGAACTGTTGAAGTCCCTATGAGTCAGGATCTCGTACTGTGTACTGTATTTGATCTGCCAGAAAGATATACTGCTTGAAGTCCTGTTTTATGAAATGTGTTTGTTTACTTCTGGAGAATTTTCGTATTTGTACACAGTTAACAATTGAGAATTAAAAAATTGAATTTATAAAATTTTGAGAATTTAAAAAATTAATAAGATAAAACTAATGGTGGATGGCTTCACATATGTCACTCAAAATGCATTGCACATTTAGCTTTGTCCTTTTATTCAACAATTCAGTGAGATGACAGTTTTTAATGATTACTGTTTATTATTCTGTTAATACCCCATCAGTTATTAGTAAAGTGAACAAGATATTGTGTCTATCTATACAAAAAGTGTTGGCCCAAATAACAAAGAAACTTAAATAACTTAAATTGAAAGCAATGTTTAATAAAGTGGACAAATTGATGAAAAAATATTGAGTTTATTATTAGGATGATTTCTTTAAGGTCATAAATGCTTTTTGATTTTATCATTTCTACATGTCATCTTACTACACTCATATCCATAATAAGGATAATTCGGAGTCACGTGGAAATCGAATACTAAAATAAATATATCACCTGTAAAATCACTACACACATCTTCAAGAATCATATACAAATTTCAGGAAGTAACCAGATGACACCGATGGTACGTCACAATGACGAGTGTAAGAGAGTGATATATAAGGAATACAGGCAAAGAAGTAAAATTTTTTGCAGGTGTTTTATAAGCATTTCAGTGCAATAACCGAATAGTTATGACATAAAGGATGCATTTGGATTATTTTTTACGTGATAGAATTATCGGCTGCCTGGAATGTGGGCGTACCGAACTGGAAGTATCAGACGAACTTGGAATTGCCCAGCGTGTCATCTCCAGGCTTTAGCAACGATTCCAAGATAATGGTAATGTGAGTAGACGTTACAGCACAGGTCGCTCCAGAGTTACAACGCCGAATAAGGACCGGTATTTGGCAGTTACTGCCAAAACAAACAGGCGGAGCACAGCCCTGAGACCTGCCTCGTCAGCTCTCTTCAGCCACTGGTACGACAATTTCAAGGCAGACCGTGTACAGACGCTTAGGGCAGATTGGTTATATGCTCGTAGACCTGTCAGATGCGTTCCACTTACTGCAACTCACTGTCGCCTGCAGTTAGCCTGGAGTAGAGAGCATGCATTGTGGACACCGCAACAGTGGGCTTGTGTGATGTTTTCCGACGAGTCCAGGTTTAGCTTGCAGTCTGATTCTCGCCGGACTTTCATATGGAGAGCTCCAGGTATTCGTTACCACCAAGAAAACATCATTGAACGACACCGTTACGGTGGTGCAGGAGTGCTCGTTTGGGGTGGAATTATTCTTGGTTCCAGAACTGACCTGCATGTTCAAATTGGAACCATGACAAGCCAAATCTATCGGGACGTCATTCTGGAACAACATGTACATTTGTTTCGGGGTGCCATGGGCGCACAATTTGTTTTATGGATGACAACGCCCGTCCTCACCGTGCAAATATCGTAAGCGAATGCCTTCAATCGGAGGATATCACCCGTATGGACTGGCCAGCATTCTCACCAGACTTGAATCCAGTAGAAGCACGTGTGGGACATGCTTGGCCGACGAGTTGCCCGTCAACCTCCTCCTACATGTCTACCGGAACTTCGGAGAGCATTGCTTTTTGAGTGGTGTAATATCCCCCAAGATCAGATCGATAATTTGATACTCAGCATGCCTAGGCGTTGTACGGACTGTATTGCATCGTCTGGGAGACATACAATGTATTAACAATCATACCAACCATGTAATATTGGTTTTTTGTAAATAGATTTTTTTTTTTTTTTTTTTTTTTTTTGGTAATTTGCTCTAGGGAAAAAAAAATCGCTAATTTTTTTAATAATATCAAACGTATAGCATCTTTTTTTGCTCTTTACCTTTTGTTTAATAAATAAGTCAAATTTGTTTTGCTTCTAACTCTTCCTTGCCTGATTTTGCATTATCCTTAATTTATGGACATGAGTGTAGATTTAAACTGATGCTCCTATATCCAGAACTGTTGAAGTCCCTATGAGTCAGGATCTCGTACTGTGTACTGTATTTGATCTGCCAGAAAGATATACTGCTTGAAGTCCTGTTTTATGAAATGTGTTTGTTTACTTCTGGAGAATTTTCGTATGTGTACACAGTTAACAATTGAGAATTAAAAAATTGAATTTATAAAATTTTGAGAATTTAAAAAATTAATAAGATAAAACTAATGGTGGATGGCTTCACATATCAACTCAAAATGCATTGCACATTTAGCTTTGTCCTTTTATTCAACAATTCAGTGAGATGACAGTTTTTAATAATTACTGTTTATTATTCTGTTAATACCCCATCAGTTATTTGTAAAAGATAGCCAATTGAATATACAATGTATCACCATTTTTATATACTTATGCAATTCATTGTTCATTTTAATGTAAAATAATCCAGTTTGTGTCATCAGAAAAATAAACTAAAATTCAATAGCCCTGCATTTTTGAATCAGTGATCTGCAGACCACTAGTGCTTCTTGAAGCTCGTCCTTGTGGTCCTCTTAGATTTAAAAAAAAAAAGGATGAGAAAGAAACTGAGATTAACTGCATATGTCACACTAAAAAACTATCACTTTTTTCCCCAGAATTCACATTTTATAAAATTTATTATCAGTTATTGTACCTATAAACTTCCCACTCTAGTCTTAACAACAAAAGGGGATTTAAAGCACTATGACCATGGTGTTTCTTATCATCATGCATCCAAACATAAAACAGCTATGCAAGATTTGGCTAGTTCATTCATCTTATTAATTAATGGGACATACCAATGTTTATTTTGAATTTTTAGTTTAAATAATAATTATCCAAATTTTAATAACCTTGCTTTATTGAAAA